ACTTGCCGAGTATATTCTCCATCTTGCCACAGATGGTTTCGAAGTCCCTTGTCGTGAAAGAGAGCCAGATAGCCAGATAGCAATGGATTGGAGTGGAATGTGGCTGTGCGGTTGCTTGCGTGGGCTTCATTCTGTGACCGCGCAGCTGTGACCGTTCGCGTTTCGCCTCCAACGATGGAAGTGCTGCAGAACCGCCTGGACTCGTTTTTGAAGCAGAAACGCGGCAAATCGCTGAAATGGCCACATCCAAAGACCTGGAAGGCCACCCCTCACACTCTCGCGGAGGCCGGATTCTACTTTGATCCGAGTCCTGACGATCCAGACAACGCAACCTGCTTTATGTGCAACAAGCAGGTCACAGAATGGGCAGAAGAAGACGACCCGTTCGATATACATTGGGAAAAATGCGCAAAGGTTTGCGCATGGGCTAATCTTCGGTGCGGTCTAAGGCGCGATGCGGACTCTCGTGGCAGGCAAGTTGGATATAAGTTGTTCATGGCATCAACGATAACGCGTTTCAGGTTTGCATTTCCAGACAAGTCCCGCTTGCCGACCCTGAAGGCCATGGAGAAGGCTAGACTTGAGACTTTTACTGCTCATGGATGGAAACATGACAAGAACAAGAAACATAGCGCAACGTCAAAAAAGGTGCGATTTCAATGCTGCTGTCTCTCCGAAATTTGTCTCACGAATACTCTCAGATGGCGCACGCAGGCTTCATATTCACTCCGACAGAGGTGGGAGACGACACTGGTGCCTGTCTGTATTGTAATATCGCGCTCGGAAATTGGGATGAGGGTGACGACCCAATGTAAGTGCATCCTCTCTTCTGCCCACAAATTCGAACATGTCGCTATCTAGGAAACATCACCGCGATCGAGATAAACCTTCGGATCCCTGTCCCTTCCTTGCCCTCGCCTTCGGTTCGGGCCCACCGCCCTCCAAGTCGGAGGCCAAGACGACGAAACGTGCTCCAAAAGCCAAGCCACCAACGCATACAGACATACTCATGCCTACGAAATTGTATGACGGCTCCGACTCCGATGCCCCTGCCCCTTTCCTGGGGGCCGCTTCCAAAACCCCTCGGAAGGCTGCATCAAAGTCTACAGCCAAAACTCCGCGAACTATGACCCGCAGCTCCTCTAGAGCCAACCTCAGAGGCGACGATGCCCAGATAGAGGAGGATGAGCACATCACTCCACCTCCAAAGAAGCGTGGCCGGTCGAAATCAGTTTCTCGCCCCAAAGTCTCCGAAGACGAGGGTCAGGACCAGCTTCCGGCCCCTCCTCCGACTCGTCAGAGGAGACCTACTACCGCCGCTAGTTCACGATCCAAATCAATCTCTCGACCTCCTTCCGCACTCGACGCTGCCAATCTGTTCGATGATGACAATGAGCCGCATAAACCGTCGAAACCGGAATCTAAATCAGAGATGCCCCGAAAAACTTCTCGGTCTAAATCCAAAGCGCGGGAAGTGGAAACAAACATGGATGATGGACCGATGGCAGAGGAACCTGTTGCGCGAAATCCCTCTCGATCTAAATCGAAAGCATCAGAAATCGAACCCGATGAAGAGCTTACAGAAGACCCAGTCCCGCGAAAGCCGTCTCGAGCCAAGCCAAAGCCGAAGGTCGTCGATGATGACAAGGAGACGAAGAAGCCATCCTCCCGGTCGCAGTCAAAACCGTCCCTGCCCGATGAATCATCCGACGATGGGTGGTTTGTCGCTGCCCTTCCCCCACCTCCGCCCACCCGAGCAAGGGCAAAGTCAGTTTCCCGGCCCAAGGCAAAACCCAAGATACGGACGTAGATAAACCAGTGGCGGGTGCGCGCAAGGAGCAGAAGAAGCAGCAGGATAGCACGACTGGACCAGATGCGGATGGACCGGAGTCGAAGAGGCCGCCGTCGAGGTCCCAAGCAAAACCTCCGTCCACAGCAGATGCTGATCCCACAGATCGCGTCGTCCGCCAGCCATCTCGGACTAGATCCAAGGCGCCAGCTATGACGGAACCCGAGCCCAAAAAACCAGCTTCCCGGGCAAAAGCCAAAACGCCCCTTCCTCCCTCCGACAATGAACTAGACGACGCCGACGACGACGATGATATGGGGATGGAACAGTACCTGCCTCCACCCCCTGCCGCTGTGAAGTCCAAGTCTAAACCGCCCTCGAAGGTCGACGAAGTAATACAGGACGTGCGTGAGCCCAAAGGACCGAGAGGGAGGAAACCCTCTTCTCGATCGACTTCGAAAAGTATTCTTTCAAAGTCCGAGGCTGCGGTACTGACAACAGAGGTCGTCGAAGAGGAACCAGAGCTATATGAGCCCGCCGCTCCCCCGCCAGCGCGGACGCGTAAAGCCTCGTCACGTTCAGGCTCCACTATTCCTCCGGTTGCCCGCGGCGCGAGTACGAGTACCACAGCCACTTTGAAATCCAAAGCCAAGCGAGATCCAAGTCCAAGTCCCGACTTGGAAGAAAACTACGACATGGACGTATTGGACACGGCCCCGGACCCCACCTTGGACGAGTCCGTCCACGTTGCACCTGCTGGCATCTCGCGCCAGGCATCCAAATCCAAGCCAGCGTCGAATGGTGTCGTTCCCTCTTCTTTGCAGACATCAGACGCTCCCACCACTACTTCGCGAAAGCCTGTATCGAAAACGACCCCTCCTGCGCCCGCGGTACAGAAACCTCGGTCTATGTCACAATCTCAGCTGCATGGATCGAAGGCTAAGAAGGACACGGAGCAAGAGTATGGCGGCAGCAGCGATAGCGGCGATGGATTGAAAGTAGTTGACATTTCCACCGACGAAGATGAGCCAAAAGCAGCGCCGAAGGTAAAGGGTAAAGGCAAGACGAAAAGCAAAGAGAAGAAAGCTGCGCGTAACAACTTGGAAGAGAAGCGCCAGGTCTCCTCGGCGCATACATCTCGGATCCTTCGCTCAGAGGAGGTGGCAGACGATGACAACGACGACGTGGAGATGGCGGAAGTTGAAGAGACCATGAGGCTAGACCCAGACCCTCTGCCTGCCACTCCCCCGCGCACCGCTCCAGCGGCTTCCTCCGTTCTCATGGACGAGTCCTCCCACCGGAATCACGTTCAGGCGAGCCCGGAAGGCTTTGCGTTCATCCCTCCCCTCGCAACCGACCCATTCGTCAACCTCGAGGACCTGAGCGAGGCCGAGCAGGACATGACCGTGGAAGAATGGATTCGGTATCAAATGGGGATTGAGTACGATCGCTTCAAGAGGGACGGCGAGCGGCAGCTCAGTATGTTTGAGCGGCGGGCGGAAGAGGTGAGACAAGCAATTGAGACGCTTTGACTGCATGAGGACTGTCTGTATACCGTATTTCAATTCTTGGTGCGCTTCCTATCTTGTCGACCATAAACTCGAAGCTCGACCTGAAGATGGGATGTGATCTCGAGATCTGTCCAAAGCCGGGTGAAGAACTTGCGATCGACTGTCTGCTGCGGCCCTGTGTTGCGAGCAAAGGCTCGGGTAGATACGCGACCCAGCTTCCGAACTCATGCTATGGTCCTGATTTAGGAATTTGCCAAGAATCTGCAGGCGGAGCATTCGAAACTCGTCGCTGGATGCTGGCACAAGGCCTAGGATAATGGCAGAGCGACCTCCTGAAAGACAGGGCAACTTGGAGGTTTTCAATCAACACAATACACTGACAGCATGTCATATTCTCAATCGTGCAGTATGATGCCTGGAGAGCTTGTTTTCGATGGTCAATGATAGTTGATTGCCATGGTTGAAGCAATCTGCACGTTGATGGGAAGGGTTTGTCGCGATGAACTCAATCAGTCGAGTACCGAAATCCATCCAAAAGCCCGAGGTATGGTCTGTGTTTCATTCATGTACTAAGTGGACAGAGCCGGTCATCCCTACCACGCCTTCCTCGTTGACACACCATAGGCTTGCGGTGTGTTCATCGTTCCAAGCTCCATTGATAGTTATGGGATGGTTTACGATCACTGGATTTCGGGCTCTATATTCGAAATGCGCGATCTTTGCCGTGGGCGTATGGAACATGGTTGTTTCCAAAAGCATGAGCGCGGTCAACGGCCCATGTACAAGTCTCTCTGGAGCATCAAAAGTAAGTTCCTGAATGAGCGCGCGAACGAACAAGCACTGACCAGGGTAACCCTCTTTTAACTGAGCATAGTCCTTGTCAAGGTGAATATGATGACCATTGAATGTGAGGGCAGAGAAACGGAACAAGGTAGTCAAGGAAGGGGTAAACGTGAACGAGAAATCAGCCGCAGGCGGTACATCCTTCACTGGGGGACGGTGGGTCTAAGACGTGGGGTCATGAACACAGACTTACCATCTCGAGGAGCTCTACTAACAGCAACGGAATCGGCAAGATAGACATGGGACCTCTCTTCCACAACAGAAGGCTGATTATTCCCGACCATCGTTACTTCAATTTTCTGATTACAAAAACCATTGGGTTTCCCTTGTCGAAGGCTTTCTTCTCGACAGAATCAACCCTCGATGTTGATATTGCCCTCTCACCAACGAGAAGAGGATTTTGGGAATCCCACGACATGCGGCCTCCTGCCCACATACGTCTAGTAAAGGGCTCCGGTGGGCAGAAGTCTGCATCAGTCCCGTCTGGCCGCAAAAGATTTTCGGGGGTTCTAGGATGAAAGAACGCCAGGTGAGATCCATATCCTAGCATTTCCGAAAGACGGGATTCCTTGTATGGCCTTCTGCTCCCATCCCGGGTTGGAAGGGTGATAAAGAGATCTGAGAGACGTTCTGGACTGAACGTGTCTTTCAATACTAGCTGTTTGGGAGATGCCATCCAGTCATCGAGAGCCTGAATATTGAACCGAACTCGATTAGGAGAAGACGAATAAGAGCGTCTTCTGGATAGGCTGAGCATGGCTGGTTCCTTCCCAAGTTTAGGTGAGGTGACGTCACTACCTACGAACCTCCGCGGCGAGTGCTGGCCATTATAATGTTCCCTTGATCAAATAAATATGTGCTCCCTGGCCCAGTTGGTTAAGGCACACGACTGTTAAACTCACCAAATTGCTGGTAATTTGATGATTAGGTGATCGTGGGATCGAGAGTTCGAGTCTCTCGGGAGCAGTTTTTGGCTCCCGTTTCTACTTCACAAGAATCCTCTGCCAGTGTTCCATAATCACCCCTTCACTCAGATCTAAACACCTCTAGACTTCGAATTATAACTGATTTTTTCGTCTGTGCTAAATATTTTGGGCTAGAGGATGAAAAGCCGTGACAACATCTTCTCAATTGCAAGCACACGAGTTCAAGCACCTAAAGATTATGCCGCCTCGAAACTGGAATGCGTTGTCATAAATGGGCAGAGCTTCTGAAATTCACTATGATTTCTGATGTCCCAAGTCACAACCCAGAATGAGCAGAACGTCGCCAAAATCCACATCCAAGCATGACCAAGTCAGGGTTGGTCATGAAGTAAGAATTCATGGATCGTACTTACAAATATCTAAGTAATATGCCTGCTGCAAATGCACTTGCTCAATGGAACCTCCTGATTTCCGTACAATATACAAAAAAAATACGACCGCATAAGGTATAGGTATAGGTACAAAGTGTCACGTTACATGCTCATCTCCAGCTAGATCCAGAGGCTCGGATAGGTGAATGGGGTGGGGAGTAAGACGACGTTCGGTTAAAATACTGTGAAGCGGGAGGACCGGCCACTGCGTCCGGCAAGAAGAGCGGGATGGTGGGGATGAGCTCAAAGACGTGTTGCGCGACAGCTCTCGAAGGCCTGCTTCCGGGCTGCAACGGCTCCACGCCATTCATTACGGCGTGTACCTGTGCGTCCTGCACAGTGGGCTCTCCATCAGGGCCGGGCGTTGCTGCAATATTTGAGCCAACACCCCGTCCGTCCCATAGACAGCGGATATCGTTGCCCGGGATGATTTGTGCCAGACGCCCGGTCTCAACATTTCGTATCTCGATGAATCGAGTGTCGAAAAGGAGGATATAGGGCGAGTGCAAGGCGACTCTCTCTGCTGTTCCTTCCCATTCGATGGTAGCAGCAGAACGACGAGGATCGCCATGTTTGTCGACGTAGACGCCGAATTCTAACGATGCGTTAGATTTTTTAAAAGATCTCGCCGTTCACATCACAACGCACCATTATAGCACAAGAGAAACTCGTCCTCCCTCGATCGAAACATACCTATGGGACGGCAGGCCTCGCACCGCTTGGCGAGTGGAGCGAGTTTGGAATCTTCCAATAGTGGTATAGTAACACTTTTGAAGCTGCAAAATGACGTCAAAATGCAGATAAATCGTACTTGATCTGTCAGAACTCACTCGTTCAGATTCATGATTTCGAAACCTTTCGGGCAAAGGATCACGATCGTTGCCTTCAGGAAGTAAAGATCAAAGGATTCCGAGGGCAAGAAGAAGTCCTGTGGATGATGGGTTATACCTACGTCATGAAGATAATTGAGACTACACCGCACCCTGTAAATCCGGAACCATTCGGACTTGGCTGATCGGAAACCCAGACGTGAACCCAGACCCGCGGGAGCCCTGACCCTCTCGTTAATCTTGTCTCCCACGGGCTCCAGAACACGGAAGATGCTGTCCAACTGCCAACAGGTGAGAACGCGTTAAAACGACCAAGGGATGATATACATACCCCCTTCTTCTTCATATAGATGACCAGTGTGCGGTTGTGAAGAGTCCCGACACTGAAAAAGTGGACGTCCTTTGTCCCATTCAGTTTCTGAGGTACCTGGGAAGCATGGGTGGCCTGCGGTGAAGACGGCACCAAAGCTTCAATGTGGTACGCAAACAGCGACTACAAAAGGGTACAATGAGCACCGTCACACAGTTGATTAGGAGACAATTGTCTACCTTGTCGGCAGAACGAGGAATATCCCAAACTCGTCAAGCATGGCACACTGTGTCACCATTTTGAGATGCAGAACGCGGCGCATGGCTAGAGAAGCAGAGTTGGAGAGGGGGTATATACAGACGATATTCAAAAGCTCAAAAGCTCACACTTTGGATCGTGACGGAATCCAATCCACACGCCTTCTGCGCAACCGATTGCGACAATCCACGCCCATCCGAGGTGTCTCGATGGATCATAAGCACCAGACAGTTCACGCATCAAGCAACTTACTGAAAGGAACAGAGCAGGTACTTTCCCTGTGAAGGAGGTGTCCTGATTCCATGCAGGTGACGTTGGCCCAACCTGCACCGACGGTACCAAGAAGGTATCCGCGCTGAGGGTTTCGGCCTCAAACACCTTGTTCGACTCTTGAACAACCTTCCGTATCCCAAGTGCCTCCTCCAATTTTTGCTTCCACTCGCTGCGAGCCTGCGCAGATTCGGAGAAGAGTATGTAAGGGCCACCCAGCCGGCCATTGTGATGAATGGTCCAAGGGAAAACGGCACGAGAATCTCCGGCACTCTCAGGAGTAGCCGAAGCGAGTGTGTTGTTAGGATCATGACGATCCCCACGGAGATTGCGAAGAAGGCCGGTACCACGTTGTGTTGGGGGATCAGTGAAGTTGACCAACGTTAGTAGATCTAGAGGAATGGGCTGCAAGAGCATCAGCGATCGCGGTATATAGCGTTTGAAAATGAACCCACACGTCGATTGACATGATATTTGGTTACACCGTCCCTCTCCTTGGGCTTCGTCATCACGACTGCGAATTCGATGAGGAACTTGACCGTTGCAGTGGACACGCAACACTCACCATAGTTGTCGAATAGAACCACAAATTGCTCACTCCATCCACTCCATTCCAGGGAATTTTCAGGTTGACGAAGGAGTTTTCCGGCATGAATCAAAGAGCGGTTCTCATCAAGCAGGTCTAGGTCCTGTGCACAGTGTTAGTGCGTGATTTTAGTAATCAAACACACCACGTACTACTGCCTCGCCTGGCTTGAAGACGAGGTTCGAGTTATATCGCCACAGCTCGACTTTTTGTTTCGCCGAGACAACACCCGGTTCGGTATCTTTTCCGAGGGCCTTGATCACCTCGAGCACTTGAGGGATCTCACCGCGATCATCATGGTTCGCTGGTGTCTCATCTAGAATTCCCTTCAAAAGGAGTTCGTATCGGAGCAACCGCGGGATCGGCCGATTGATGAAGTTTTTCATGTCAAGACGATGAGCATCAGGATGCCGCACACATTGCTAAGTCACATCGTATGAGAACCTGACAGCATCGGCGACAAGGAAACACACCTCAACGAAGTTCTTGAAGTCGATGTTGTTGGCCATCTCATCATCGATCCGGTACGCCGCAATCGGGTAATTGGGAATGTACTCCATGTACGCGTCCCGAAAATTCAGCGCCGCGTCAAACATGACAGCAGTTACGCTGCGGATGTTGGGGTGCTGTTCCCGTTGAATTTCATGGAACTTGTCCACCAGCTTACGATGGTGAGCATACAAATCCGCGAAATTGTGGAAGACGTCCGAGATGAATTGCTCCAGCCGCTCGGGAGGCATGACGGGTGGTCTGGCGGCCCGCAGAGGCTGAATGTACATCTGCGGACGGTACAGTCAATCAACTGGAAAGTATGAATGGCAAGAAGGATTCACATTTTCGATGTTTTCCAGATCCTTGACATACGCCATCTCACCCTTGATCAGTTCAAATATGATACTACACGATACGATCACTATTTGAGTGGAGGTCTAGGAAAAGTGGGACTGACGATTGGCGTTTCTGCTGGTCCTTCGGCATGGCTTTCCTGATTTCCGGCGAGACCAAGTCATGCCATTCCCATTTGCCCGCGGCGCCTTTGCCCATGGCAGACTGGAACGTCCGCAGCTGTGCGAAGCTCTGCAGGTTCTTGATTGCCTCGATGGCCTCCATCAGGTAGTCCGCGTCCGGATTCCCGACGGCCGTCTCATGGTAGATCGCTTCCAGCAGCACGGGGTACTTTTGCAGGTGTTCCGACGGTCGATTCAAGAAGTGCTTGAGATCCAGACGCAGCGATTCTCCCGCCCGCGACGACTGGCGCGAGCATTGCTGGAAGACAAAGGCATAAGACCACACTCACACATGCGGAAGAATGTTTGCTCGCTCACCTCTAGGAAAAGACGGAATTCGGGATTTGCATCGATCTCCTCCTTCATCCGCTTTTCCGCCAGAGGATGGTGGCCGATGTACGTTGGGTAGCCAATCTGAATTCGGTCGCCGCCGCGAGAAGTACGTCGCCTACAGAAAGAAAATTATTGTTGGAGTTTCTTCGGACGCGCCCAAAAGGCAGACTAACCGATCCTCTGGATAACAGGCGACTGCTCCCGCTGCCGGACGTGCATGACCTCGAGCAGACGCCGATTGCACTCCCGCAGGTCGAGGATGTTGCCAAACACGTCGTCGATAAAGTCCTCCAGCCGGTCCAGTGGAATGACGGGCGGAATGGCCGTTCGGAGCGGCTTGAGAAACACCGACTCGACAATGTCTAGATCCTTCACATACTGGTCCTCCTTGCTGATAAGCTTGTGGATGATCCTGAAAGATGGGATGTCACAAAGTGAACGTCAAGAGAGATACGACATTTACGTCTGGCGGTTGATTTCACTTTCCGGGAGCTGGGTTAGCACCTCCTTCGGGACCGTATGTGGCCATTCCTCGCGCAGCGGTAGCGCGGGGCTCTCTATGGGGCCTGGGGCCGGAGCCACGAGAGGGTTCCCCTGGTGCTCGTAAGCATAGCATCCAGATGGGGAAGAAAAAAGGAAACGTGCCCTCCGCGGGCAGCCGTACGAGTAGCACGGGGCCTCATCACCGCAGCTGGGTGAGTAACACTTCGTCAGCATGGTTACCACGCCCGTCGGTAATCCTCCCGCTCGGGGCAGCATCAGACGTGCCCTCCTGGTCGTCCAGGAACATGTACACGTCCTCGACTCCGTCCTGCAGTATGCGGCCGCCCCACTCGACTTCATAGAAGAAGAGCTGGCTCTGGAGGCTGCGAGCGACCTGGAGCGCGGCGCGGCGGTCGTTGGTCGAGATGCCGTGGTTGATGGCGAGTTCGCGCTGGATCTGTGACTGGATCGTCGACACGATGTCCTTGCCGGTGAACGCGCGCGGATACGGGATGCTACCCTTTACATGAGTT